AAAAAAGAACTGAATTCAAAAGAGCAAAGGCTTCTTCTTTTTGTTGCTCCTATTTGGATTCGGGGGCGGGGTGCATGTGATGGACACCTACTGGTGTCCAATCCTGGCTACTGCTGGAGCTGGACTGGGGCACAAGATGACATGCTATCCTGGCCATCCTCTGGCTGCTTGAACAACCCTCACCCGACATCTTGATTATTACAATAATATCTGGGATGCATTTTGTTAAAATGAAAGCAGAAAAGTTGTGGGGCTGTCGTGTTCATCCAGCCAGTTACATACAATGTAAGTGATACGAGTTTAAACGGGAAGTGTTTTCTTTTAAAGGAATTGGGTGGTATGGCTCAAGACGTTCTGTCCAGTCCCAGAGGAGGTCTTCTAATGCTTTATTTCTTCTTCGTCTTCAGCCCTTGAACTTTGAGAGTAAGAAGAGCTACACTTTAAAGGTGGAGGGTGCCAATCCCCACTTAGAAATGCGCTTCCTGAACCTGGGCCCCTTCCGTGACACGGCAACTGTACACATCACCGTTGAGGATGTGGAAGAACCCCCACTCTTTGAGCCTAGCTTTTATTTCGTGGAAGTCCCTGAAGATGTGGACATTGGGACCACCATACAAATGATTTATGCCAAGGACCCGGATGTGACCAACAACTCCATCAGGTTCCTTTCTTTGCTTGTTTCTCTCCCCCCCCCCCATCATCCTAAATATCCACTATGTTAACTCCTAGGGTTGTTCTTGTTGCTTTAGGGGAGTAATGCAGATTCAGAAATTTATTATTCTTTATTTAATAGGATTTATCTGCCACCCTTCATCAAAAGATCTCAGGGCAAGTTCACAGAATGAAATACAGAACTAGAACCAGTAAATAATTAAAACGAAACAATAACAACCCCCCCTTCCCACAGACACATATAAAAGGCTGAAGAATATTAATCTGCCAGTTTCAAATAAATGCTTAACCTTAGATGCTAGCAAGGCTATACATTATTTTGTGCAGGCAAAATCACCATTTACTTGTCCTCTGTGAATCAGAGGCAAGATTTAAGAACTGGCTCTCTCCAGTGCATCCAGAGTTAATTAACCATTATCAATTTAGGACAGATGGTATTGAGTCTCTGTCAGTGAGGAGGTTGCAGCTTACTATTCAGGCAACAAAAGGATGGTTTATGTCATCCCTGCTCAAAATAATCCCATTCTACACTGTTACACTCTGAGAATAATAATAATGAGAATAATAATAATAATAACAACTTTTATTTGTATCCCGCCCTCCCCAGCCGAGACTGGGCTCAGGGCGGCTAACATCAAATACATAACATTGGTATAAAATCAAACAATAATTAAATTACCTCCTAAAAACAAGTCAGGATCAAATTAACATCTAATTAGATGGCTTTCTGCAGGATTAGAGTTGGGAACAGTAAATGTTCATCAGTATGTATTTACATGACCAGCGTAACATGTGGCACAGTCTAGGCCTCCCACAAATTTCAGGAAACTGAAGCTCCTTGTCATGGAAGTTTTGCCTGAGGAAAGACATCTGGAACTGTCCAGAGCAACTGAGTAATGATTGCATGATAATTTATTATGTGAAAAGAGGGGAAACGTGCTCTCCTTTCTTCAGGTCTCTCAATCTTACCCATAATGTCTCATCTTCCTCTCGAAGCAGGAGACTTTGGCCAAGGGGATGTGTGCAAATATGCACCCCTTGCTATAGTTTCTTTAAAGCTTCATGGGCTATAGATAGAAAAGAAGATTTGGGATAGGTGGGTCTTCATATAGATGTGGAAATAAAGGGAATCTCTTTCTTGAAAGTCTGGGGAGCACAGTGATCTATTGTTATGCACTCTCCAGCTGCCCCGGGGCGGGAGGGGGGTGACACATTCCAGGGGTTTCGTTTCCTTTGAGTGACAGAGCACTGAGGGCCTAGGACATTTTTGCTTCATTTATAAATATATAACCAGATAGCACAGGGAGGAAAAAAGGGGAACTCCTACAAGGTAGCAAATCTGCATCAGATGCCCAGACAGACTTTGCACACCAAAGCACTTCACATTCTGGCAACCCCCTGATGTCTCTGTTTCTGTGTCTTCAAAATAACAAACTCTTGTGTCTCTCACCACCACCACCACATATTCTCCTGGGGCTTTCTACATGCTAAATATTGTGCTCTACCCTGTAAAATCCTCTAAGTTTGAAGCCTCCAACAGCCTTCACAGGATGTTTTATTAAATACAGACAGTGTGAACAAGAGTTCTGGAGAACTTGAAAGCTTGCTCACAACTTTCTGATATTTCAGTCTGCCCTATTAGATTCTCTCCCCCCTCCCTCCATAGACCAATGTGGCTACTTACAATTTTAGTATTATAGATGGTTTAATGAACAGATCTTAGTCTTACCCCATGATATGCCAGTAGTACACAGCTGAATTATAACTGATATAATTTGGTTTTGCGGGCGTCCCATAAGCACAATTCCACCGGAAAATGTTCGGGGATTCCAGTGGTTATTTCAATAAATAAGGGCAATGCTATGTTTGTCAACAGAATTTCAGAAAGGCGGGCCATATTACCAGAATACTCACCGAACGCACCAGAAACTCCCAAATCCTCTTATCCCTGCCTTTCTTGACATCTCGATTGCCCACATTGGGAGATGCTGATTGCTGAAGGCATGGCCTGATTAATTCAGAATGACTAAGGGAGATTATGTAAACAGTTCAATGGACTCGAGTGCTGAGAACCAATTATTAATAATAGGCAAACATGTGCAAAGAATGCAGTACAAAAACTCCACCTGTGCTGCATGACACCAGTGATTAATGTTGCACCACTAATCACAAGGCCATATTCAATTTCAGATACAAGTTAGCCCTAAACTGTCAGAGGAGAATTTTTTTTTAATGGGCGTTTGCAAGACAGATCATTATTTCACAATCTAAAGCTTTTGTGTGGCTTTCCTTAATAAATCTAGCAGACTGGGGGGGATACATCTTTATTTTAAAAGTGAGAGAGAGCATTCACAATGATGATTTTTCCTCCCTTCTTCTTATTCTTCGACTAAACAAAGCTGCTTCTTTCTTTGAAAGCAGTCCAACAACGTTGTGTGCCTTGCGTTTCCTTTGCCTCGTGCTTCCCTTGCACAATTAGAACACGTTGGGTTGCGTCCCACACAGGTCTTCTGCTTGCACAACATACTTCCGCTTCCTTAATGGGACTTTACCCTCCCCTCCCCCAGCTCTCGGTAAACCCTCAAAATCTTCTCCAAAGAGTTGGGAGAATCTATGGGGCAGATTTGGGGGTCATGCAAGGAACAGGAGCCAAGAGGAATCCCATTGTGTGAGCAGAACTCCACTTGTGCAGCAGCACTGGCCACAAATTGCAGCTCACTGTTTGTATAGCACTCTCTACTTATTGTTGTTATTTAAATGTGTTGGTCAATTGATTTTGACCAAGGCAACCCAAAGCAACTTAACAAACACACCCCACGTAGATACATTGAAACCGAGCTGGAGGTAGTGGTTGCATTAAAATCTTCCCACCCACTGCTAAAAGACCACGGATAGTTCAGGGCCAAAGGCCTGGTTTTGCCTGGCACCTAAAGAAATATGTTGTTGTCAACATACTTTGCATCTGTCCCCGCCCTACCAGATGCAACAGTGGGTCAGTCCTTATAACAACACCAGAGGGTAGGCCAGTTTTATGATTCTCATATTGCTAGTTAGGGAGACTGGCTCAGGCAGTCAAATGGATTTTCAAAAAATCATCAGTCAATCAAGCTGTGATACACATTTTAACATAGATGGACCCCAGTACAGTGGATCCGATTTCATTTAATATTTTTGAATGATCCATTCTGCCTTTGTCTCTCTCTGCTCATTTCCCTCTTCTTGCCTTCCGCATAGAGGAGTGAGGGGAGACAGCAGACACAGAAGAGACCCCCATAATTTTGGTTATATGGAATTTTTGCATATGTGTGTCCCTTAGAACTGAATCTTCACATATGATACCACATGACTGTATTTCTCTTTGTCCTCAACCTGCTGTGCCAATTGGCTTATTTGGGTCTGGTGTAGGAAAAAATGTCCTATCTGCTCTCCAAATATTCATAATTTGGTAAACTTTACTCTTGTCCATCTTAGGTAAAGGAAAAGGGACCCCTGACCATTAGGTCCAGTCGTGGCCAACTCTGGGGTTGCGGCGCTCATCTCGCTTTATTGGCCGAGGGAGCCGGCGTACAGTTTCTGGGTCATATGGCCAGCATGACTGAGCCGCTTCTGGTTAACCAGAGCAGCACACGGAAACGCCGTTTACCTTCCCGCCGGAGCAGTACCTATTTATCTACTTGCACTTTGACGTGCTTTCAAACTGCTAGGTTGGCAGGAGCAGGGACCGAGCAACAAGAGCTCACCCAGTCGCGGGGATTCAAAATGCCAACCTTCTGATCGGCAGGTCCTAGGCTCTGTGGTTTAACCCACAGCGCCACCCGCAAGTCCTTGTCCATCTTAGTTGTCATTTATTTTCCTAAACTAAAGAAAAAAAGTCTCATACTCTCTTGCCTTTTCTCACATGAAGTTGCAACATATCTCTATTCATTTTCACTTCTGCAGCTTTTTCAGTTCTTATATTCATTTTCAGAACAGGTGAAAATAACTATTATACAGTAGTATAATAGAACAGAGCGTTGTATTTATTATTCACTGCAGGAGAGACCAAAAAAATACCTTCAAAATTAGTTATAACTGTTTTCAACTTTTCTTGCTATTCTAGTTGTTGTTGTTTTTTTTAAAAAAAACTATTATTGGATAAAAGCAATCAAACAAATTATCAAGCCATGCTTTAAATTTAGTGTCTGAACTAGAAGCAAACCAGAGAATTAAAAGTTACTAATGAACCTGAACGGAGCCTTGATTAGGAATGATTTATTCCTTGCATATAATGCCTTCTAAACGTATACTTTTTTACAGGTATTCCATTGATCGAAGCAGTGATCCCGGGCGCTTCTTTTATGTCGACATTGCAACAGGTGCTCTGATGACTGCAAGACCTCTGGATCGGGAAGACATTTTGTGGCACAATATCACCGTCCTGGCCGTGGAGCTGAGTAAGGAGAACAAAAACCATGCAAATATGTTTGTTTCAACATTTCGGGATGCTGCACATTTATCTCCATCTTATCCTCTTTTCAATTATGTTTTATTGTTTGTTAACATGGAAACACAAGAGTTCAATAAGCACGTTCCTTACTCCAGTTATCTCCAAATGTATTTTACTGGGGTTCAAATTTAACCAGCATTTAAAGCCAACTCTGGCAGACTCTTGGGGTGATCCAATCCCATGGCAAGATCCACTGTGGATTTCTGGCTCAGCTGGCTCAGAGACCCCAACCCCGGCTCAGCCAAAGCCAACATAACTTGTTCAGCTCAGCCAAAGTTTGCTGAGCTGAGGCCAGTGTAAGTCCCCAAAAGGGGGCATATTCTGGGGTGGGACCAGAGAGAAGAGACATAGGCTGGATCATAATCCCATTCAACTCAGTCATGTGACTTGGCAACCTGGCATAGAACACTTATTTTAAAGGCTTGTTCTCCTTCTGCCAGGCTTAGGGTGGGGTTTGGATGTGGTACAGCTTTACACTGGCTTGCTCTACGCCAGCCTCGTGTGCATAGGACTGCTTCCTCGATAACTTCACTGCAGTTAAGAAACAGCCCGAGTTCAGCCTACACAAGCCGTATGACATGCATATTTATATGCACTGCAGTGGAAGCCACGCTTTGCATCTGATTGAGGGAATGAAAGTAGCATTTAATTTTTACGCTCCTAGGGAGGTCTGCAAATGAAATGTTTACTCAAACCATTAGCATTCAAGGGAATTGTTGTTTAATTTCTCTTTCTTGCTTTTTTTTTTAATTAAAAAAAAATGCAGTTCAGATAAGAGCTAGCACACGCATTCTCGCCCCAAGAACTATTAGTAGCAAAAACAGATGCTCTGAATATTACAGGGCTTATCAGAGTAGAAAGCAGCATTATCAGGAAGGATTGAATGGCTCAGGGATTTGCTAATGAGCTCAGAGCCTTTCACTTCTAGGTCACTGGTTCAAAACCTCCTTGAGCCAGTAGCAAGCGACTGTTATCACCATCTGCTTGCTTGCTTTTTTTAGTGGCCTCTAGAAATAATTTTGTAATAAACCCGTGTTTAGGGCAGGGAAAGCTGCTTACTAGGGTCTCAGATATGTACCGAAACGTAGGGGTCACTGTTGCTTGAGAACTACCGTGGCATTTCTGAGAAACCTTCTGCCCCCGTACATATTTAGAGTTTCAGTGTATGAAAGTGGCTGGAAATCGACATTACAGCAGACAAGGGTCATTTTTTTTTTTTAAGTTATCTGTGTCACATTCTCATCTGATGGGGGAGGAAATTAGTTTGGTTTGCATTTTAAAATGAACCTGCGCAATTCACACTTTCAGAAACACTAATCGTGCTGTGGGAACACTTTTCTATCAATCTGAGTCAGAAATTGTGAGGACGTTTGGCTCTTCAAATTTTCATACATAAATGCAACAAGCACTTTGTGTAAGAGACTCAGGAGCATTCCTAGGGACTGGGCAGGTTGGCACTCACCAAGGGCGCAGGCTTGTGTGCGCGCGCGCAAAAATCTTGCCTCTCCACTCTTGCTCGGAGTGGCTTGGAGCCTGCCCAGTCATCCAGATGTTCTCCAGTTTGCTCCTCTGCTGTTTGGGGGAGGGCACCAATATTTCTCCTTGCCAAGGGTTTAAGGGAGGGGGGTTGCCAACACAGCTCCTTGCAAGGGGACACTGATACAGCTCCTTGCCAAGCGTGCAAAGGAGCCTAGTTACTCCTCTGAACACACTAGAAAAAATTTATAGAATTACAGAATTGCAGAAATGGAAGGAGCCTTGAGGGTCATCTGGTCCATCCCTCTGCCCACAGCCATCTCTGGTGGGCTCAAACCTTCTAGACACATCAAGTAATGAAACCAGAGCCTCAAGAGCGCAACATGTGCTGTAACGCACTGCAGGTCTGCCTGCTCTTCTTGGGCAACCTCAACTCTCAAATGTAATGCATGGCACCAAGATTAATTTACACCAGGACCAAGCCACTCTGATTTTTATCTTTATTTTTTGCTTCGTTCTATCTTCTTTCAGACAACCCCTCGCAGGTTGGCAGTGTTTCTGTCACGATAAGAGTGCTGGATGTGAATGACAACGCTCCAGAATTCTCCAGGTTCTACGAGGCTTTTGTATGTGAAAATGCTAAAGCCGGACAGGTGAGAGAAGCTAAGAAAAACTGCACCATCTTCTGTGTGAATACTCCACTGTATAGCCTGAGCTTACAAAATTAGAGGGATTTAAGGGTACTACCTGTGGACCCAGGGTTTTTTTCCCCAGGGAGAACTCGCCAGAACTCAGGTGGGTGCAACTGCCATTCTAAGAGAAAGAGGGTGGCATTCATGGTGAGTTCCGGCTCCTCTTTTTCTAGAAAACTAGCACTGTGCGGACTGATGAATTCATGTTTTGTGCAATACCAGCATAGTAAGAGGTAAAGGGACCCCTGACAGTCAAGTCCAGTCGCGAATGACTCTGGGGTTGTGGCACTCATCTCGGTTTACAGGCCAAGGGGAGTTGGCATTTGTCCGCTGACAGTTTTTCCAGGTCATGTAGCCAGCATGACTAAGCTGCTTCTGGCACAATGGAACACCGAAACCAGAGCAGTGCATGGAAACGCCATTTACCTTCCCGCCAGAGCGGCACCTCTTAATCTACTTGCACTTTTTGCTGTACTTTCGAACTACTAGGTTGGCAGGAGCTGGGACCGAGCAACGGGAGCTCACCCCATCACGGGGATTCGAACCGCTGACCTTTTGATTGGCAAGCCCAAGGCTCAGTGGTTTAGACCACAGCGCCACCCGCATCCCATGCCAGCATAGTAGTGACTCTTAATATTGCTGCTTCAGAGCTACCAGTGAGTTGAGGAATAATGGTGGGTGAACTAGCAGGATGCCAGAGAAGACCCTTTAACTTGGATGAGCTAAATCATTGTGTCCTTTTCACTTCCAGGGTTATTATGCAGGCTATGGGGTGCAGGTACGGCCAGGGCATGGAGTTTGTTTAACAGCTACCTGTATTCCTGAGTCCAAAGAACTATTGAGAATTTGTTTTGACTCCATTTTAGCTCATTTCTCACTACCCAGTGCAGTTCTGCATATTTCATTCACAGCTACATCTGCAAGAAATCACATATATTAACCTTTCTCTGACATTCTCTGTGGTTAATGTTTACTGTGAAGGTGTCCCCACATGGTCCTGTTTTATATTTAGATACAAGTTGAAACAGCACTTTTTCTTTTCCAGTCCAAAATGCCATTAAATACAAATCTGACCATGCAAGCATCCTTCACATGAAAATACAGAATGAGTGATTTACCTCCTCTTTCTCTTACAATTTTTGGCAGCATGCAAGTATTTGAGCTGCATCCAGTGGATGCACTAACCCAAGGCAGCTCGTCCAACTAGTCTTTCTCTTCCCCTCATCCTCGCCTCCTGCAGCCTGAAACCTCAACTCCGGAAAGCTGGAGAATAAACATTGGTTGTGCAGAACAGCAATAGAAGGTGGTTGCACGAAACCAGACAGAGAGCTCTCATGGCAGCAGAGCTGGAGCAAGATCTCTCTGCTTAATTCCAGCCCGTTCCCCTCTCACACTGCAGCTACATTACAGGGCAGCCCTCACCATTCAGCCCTCCTTGGACCCTCAGAACAAGGTTTGTAGTGAGGCACAGGGCAGGAGTGGGGAAGAGAAAGTTCAGTTGCACGAGGTGCCTTCATGCTCACACAGCCATTGGGTACAATCCTTTGGATTTGCAAGGCTCTTCTTGAAACAGAAGTTGTGTCTAGGAGGTATAATGTCTCCTAGGTAAGGTAAAGGTAAAGGTACCCCTGCCCATACGGGCCAGTCTTGACAGACTCTGGGGTTGTGCGCCCATCTCACTCAAGAGGCCGGGGGTCAGCGCTGTCCGGAGACACTTCCGGGTCACGTGGCCAGCGTGACAAAGCTGCATCTGGCGAGCCAGCGCAGCACACGGAAACGCCGTTTACCTTCCCGCCAGTAAGCGGTCCCTATTTATCTACTTGCACCCGGGGGTGCTTTCGAACTGCTAGGTTGGCAGGCGCTGGGACTGAGCAACGGGAGCGCACCCCGCCGCGGGGATTCGAACCGCCGACCTTTCGATTGGCAAGCCCTAGGCGCTGAGGCTTTTACCCACAGCACCACCCGCGTCCCAATGTCTCCTAGAGTTACATGCAAAGTTTCTTTAGTCCTGTGATCCTGGTGGGCGTCCTCAGGGCCACAGGCTATTTCAGATCTTCCTCCCTGGGAGATGGAGACAGATTTTGAAAACCTCCCACTCCATAACCTCAGCAGCTCTTGCCTTCTCAAGGTCAAAGCTCCAGTGTCATAGACTCAGAATTGCAGAGTTGGAAGGGACCACAAGGAATGCAGGAATCTTTTGTCCAACGTTGGCCTCAAACCCATGACCCTGAGGTTAAGAGTCTCAAGCTCTACCCACTGAGCTATCAGAAAGGGGGTGTGCTGGAGAAGGTTCACAGGCATACCAGGGACTGAACCTGTGACCTTCTACACACAAAGCATACGCTCCGTCTCCTGTCTATGGGACATCCAAATGTTAATTTGCCCTTCTCATATTTTAGCCAGCTTAGGTTCGCCCATTCTGTTTTTAATCATTTCACTCACCATTGATTCTGGCAACGTATTGATTGCCTTCATAGATCCCTGCTCCCTCAAGAAGATGAATCTGGGCTTGGCTTTTCCTTGCAATCCTGAAACACAGCTTTCTCCTGCACTGGAGCTCTCATCAGACCCTTTGTTTTCCTCTCCCCTCCTACAGCTGATTCAGACAGTGAGCGCGGTTGACCAGGACGACCCACAAGAGGGACAGCACTTCTACTATAGCTTGGCTCCCGAGGCAGCTAACAACCCCAACTTTACTCTAAGGGACAATCAAGGTAATTGGAGCGGACACCCATTTGTTTCGCTAACTAACGTCTTCTGCAATGAGTTGGTCTT